TGGCATATCAAACAGTAATGTTGGTTCTTCCACAATTACGAACATTCCAGTTGATCTGATATTGGAAATAAATTTATTATTATTATTATTATTATTATTATTATTATTATTATTATTATTATTATTATTATTATTATTATTATCATTATCATTATCATTATCATTATTATTATTATTATTATTATTATTATTATTATTATTATTATTATTATTATTATTATGATTGCACTAGTCTCTCCAAAAGAGAGATGAAGGGTATTGCAATATCCTGCGTGTGTGTGTGTGTGTGTGTGTGTGTGTGTGTTTGCCTGTCCGTTGGTCAGTATGAGGTTTGTGTGTTTTTCCGTGCGTTTAAATAAAAAACTGCTGGACCGATTTTACTTCAAATTTCTACACATTGACACTGTTACATGTAACTCGCTCCTACTTAAATGTTGTGCTGATTGGGAGTTTAAAGGCACATATTTTAGAATGTTATTATATATTTTCCGGCTGCAACAAACATACCAACGCCGTAGGCCAACAAAGCGGATAGATCGCGGACCAGATTAAGGAGTGTGTCAAATTTTAGCAGACTCTGGAAGCGGTTCGACCGTGCAAACTCGCCCGATATGGGCTTGCAACTCGAGGCCTATGATTCTAGCTTTCGTTTGGCTATGCTGAGCCGACTTTAGTGAGATGACCGCTTGCCATTATTTTGTCTGTACATAAAAGATATAACGCAACAGGGCGAGGGTTTGTAAGTTAGATTATCTTTTATCCCAGATTGTACTTTTACGAAGAAAAGCAATAATGAAAATATTCAAATGTTTACCGGAATTTTAGGTACAGGTTACATTTTATTGGCGATTGTTCTGTACGCTTTTATAATAATTTTGGTCCTGTGTACCTACAAGTTCTACCCTAGCTCTGCCTCATCAAGATTATCACCCGGGATTAAGAGCCCAGGGTTTTAATCTGGCGCCTCCAATAATAGTGATAATCGCAATAGCTCTAACCCACATGATTATAAATGATAACAAATGAAAATAAATAGTAAATGATAATAAAGGATGATAAATGAAAATTTAGGTAAATTATGCTAAATGATGAACGATGGACAGTGATAAAGGATAAATAATAAACGATATTGAAAAAAATAATAATAAATGGTAAATGAATGGTGATGAAATGTTAATATTATATATAATTATATGATAATAATAATTATAATTATTAAAATATCACAAAAAAGAATATTTTTTTTCTAATTATAATAATGAGAAATGATGTTTGAGATTATGAAGATCTGCTTACAAAAATGTTGACACTTTGAACCACAGTAGTACTACTTAAGCGGAGAGTTTTTATCATTGCACTTTAGAACTCAGTGAGTGTTTGTTCTATCACAAAGATCAATTGGCTTAAACTTTAAAGGTTGAGAATGTAGTCTGATGCATTTTTCACTGTAGATTTGAATTCCATCGCTTAAAAAATGCAAATTCAGTTTACAATAACAGTGAAATTACTCAATACTGGCCTGTGCGACAACCTAACTATTTCGATAAGAAATACCTTATAAGCTAATATTAAATACTATGTAGGTTCGGACCATGTTTTAAGTTACACAATAAACTGAAAATCACCAAAGTAAAGGGTAAAAACCCCTTGGGCACACATAGTAAAACGGGATATAAGTAATAATAGCGTATTTTGCATTCCTCTCGCCTGTATTTTCATAGGAGTCTATGTTAGTAGGTGAGATCCCTGGCCCCCTCTATTTTGAATTCCTGGATCCACCAATGTGATTTGTGTTTATGCGCTGTTGACAATTGGAACTGAATTGCGAGTCGGGGCTGGTTTCGAAATAAATTACTTTATTTATGTAAGAATCAATGTAGAGTGCTCTTAAAGTTTTAAGAACCGTGATAAACTTAGCGTATATGGGGATGCTTATCTCATTATAATATTCGAATTTTAATGAATATTGACAAACTGCAGGTTGTGTTAATACAATTTGTAATAATACTAATGATAGTTAATACAGTACAGTAGTGTACAGTTATAGATAAATTAGGTCACTAAGTCATCAAAATTGCAATTTGCATTTGTGATCCAGCAATATTTGTAATGTCTTCAGCAGTGGCCTCAGAGATTTGCTGACAGGGGTCCGACAGGGCCATCCGAACCAAGGTGCGACGATCGAGAGCCTTGGTCAAGGTCGCAGAATAAAACTCTGCGGTGTGTAGGGTTCATTGAGAGAGTTTTAATGGTTTCGTATGGCACAACAGTAAATGTGACTTTTATATACAAGCATTATCACTTAATATCGCGTTATTATTTAAAAATATTTGGATTGAGTTAATGCGTTTGTCTGAAGAAAATAAAGGCAATAAGACCATGGCAAAGGTTCAGGGGTGAAGTCGCAGAGCAATTTTAAGAATTTTAGAGGTTCAAATATTTGATTTAGAAGTAATTATAGGCTTACAAAGCTATTTTACTTTAACAGTGAAGTGACAAAAAACAAAATCTTCACTGTGTTTTGTTTCATTCCACCTCAATCCTCTGTACTAAAGTTTAAAACCTTGACTCATTTTTTTTTGTATTGCATTTGTTAATACACAATCGAGTGTTAGGACCTCTAAAATCCTGGACCCTGGCGACGAGGAGTCACCCATGAACATTTGCGCGCCACGGCATTAGTATACTCGGTAGCCACAATGCTCACAAGGGCCCCAGTGCCCCCTACCATATGGTCCAGGCATCCATAGCCAATGTGGCTGCTGCGGTTACACCGACAGCCCTGTCGGTTTGGCGTCCTACGACGGCGTGTGTATGTATACATAGCGAGGGTTTGCAGGTTTGAATCTCAGGCTTAGAGACATTTTTTTCATACAACTGAAATGAATGAACTTATCATCGATGAACTATTATACTTGATACAATTATCGTTCCTATTTAAGCAATGTTATCATTATTTATTGATTGTATATATTGTCTTGATGGTGATAAATAAATAAAATTAATGTAATGTAAATGATATGACATGCTACTGATTGTGGTCTATCAGAGGTCGTCTGACCATTTCTGACACACAACTGAGTGCACAGTAGGCTAAAGCACAAGTTTACCGATTTCATTTAATGATGCAATTTGTAATTTTTGAGATCAAAAATTAAAATAATGATTTGCCTACAATTGTAGTCTAAAAGCGCAATTTGAGCCATATTAAGGCATAAACACCCTAAACTCTACCACGGATTTTTTTTAATTTTTTATTCCAGGCTCATTGTTTGGGACCCCCTCCCCACCCTGTTGGACATGATGGATTAATTGAGCCACCAGAAAATTCCCGGAATTAGAGTTACCATAATTATAATAATACAAATGAAAGCTGTGATATCCAACCGACTCTGCTCTGCCCCACCAGGGATTATTGAACAGTATACACCGATTGGTCACCAATTTCTGTCACCCAGCCCTCACTGGCAATCGCAGATACGGCCATGAATTCCATAATGTTTAATAACATGATTTGTTGGGATACAATCACTATGCGTATACTTTTAGCCACGAAAAGGAGATAATCTTGATAATTTAAAAGACAAAATACTTATTCCTATCCGTTGGACAGTGCTTTAGGTCACATTAATTTCCAAAATAGGTTCGTTATTATCTAAAATACATGATAGTTAATATGATATAAAATATGGTGCCATGCATGTTCCACATATATAAATACTGTAGATAGTATACAACACACAGAGAGAAAAAAAATGTTAATAGCAGATGTTTCTTGGAGCATAAAACTTTATTTTGCAAACAGTTCGAACGCGCCTGCGTTCTTTATATATGACCGACCTAAATATTCAAATTCACGCTTATGTTCTAGCAAGGAGCAGTTATACTGCATCTACCCTGTCTAATGGGATCCAGGCCAGATGGTCGAAAATCAGTTTGACGAATGCCAGATTGTCGAAACCCAGTTTGCCGAAAACCCAGTTTGTGGAAAGTAAGTTTAAAGCAGTGAAACATTTACTCAACATTCAATCACGATGGAACCATTTCAATGTGATGCTGTCACTGTGATGTGTATTTGTAAAATAGCGGCTTATTGTAGTTTCTTTCTACTTTCAGTCTTGTTTTGTAAATCCAACTCGGTTAATAATTCAGCTATCAGCACAGTATTAATTAAATACTGTAAGCCTATCAAATAATCTCATACACATATATATATATATAAGTGTATAAAGTTTTAAAAATTCCCTGGTAGGAAGAGTTTTTTAGGGCTTAGTGTGGACCAAATAGTACTTTTAGACAAAAATATTTTGTACTAGCAAGCAAAATAACGTTATTTGTATAGGCAACTATTATTGTTGGTTCAACAGTCTCGCCCTTGACGTAGGATGACTGAGGGGTCGGAGATACAATGCTTAATTATTGCTCTACCTGATCTATCCATTATGTTTTTTAAAAGCACAGTATGCTGTACGACGGTGACGGCAAGATTCGGTAAACTGGGTTGTCAAGGTTTTGGTGAACTGGGTTTCGGCAAACTGGGTTTGGCAAACTAGATTTTGACAAACTAGTCTGATACTGTCAGAAAGATATGGCAGAAAGCATTAAAAATTAACTATTGAAACCCAATGGGTAGAGCGTGCAAGTCAGTCAGAGATGATTTAAGTAATCAATGAGAGCAGTAGGAATCAAAATTTAGTCGCAAAATGCCAAGTTAGTTAAAGTTAGTTTAAGTATCCATGGTTAGTTTCTCTATGATCCAATTCAAACAGTGGTGTTGAGTGTGGAATTTAAAGTTCTATGAAAACCAGGGGCGGATCCAAAGATGTCCAAAAGGGGTGGGGGCCAAATTTGGGCCGATCAAGAAACAATGTCCTAGGGGGTCCGGAGCATGCCTCTACAAAAATGTTGTCTTCTAGACGCCCGAAAATAATATTTGAGGCGTTCTGGGCTATCATTTTTTTTTCTTTCTCTTTTTTTTTTTTTCTTTTTTTTTACCTCCCTCTTTTCTTTTTTTTTTACCTCCCCTAAATCCGCCCCTGAAAACGCCTAAAATTAGGTAGAGAATGATAGTGCATATTAAAATTATCGGCTAATAAACATGAATACCTTTATAATTATTATCTCTAATAAATTTTCTATGAATAATTTATGAATAATTATATTAAATGAAATTGGTTCTGGAGTTGCACTTGTAGTTTCCTAGTAAGTATTTATTGCAAGTGATTGTGTAGCTTATGACGTTTAGATGAGTCGCAAGTTCAGGGGTGGATATCTCTGTATGGGTTTTACAGCAATAGTTCGTGATAAGCAGTCTGTGTATCTGACAGTGGGATTTGCTATATGGGTAATTTCCTGTGTTAGTTGGAAGCGTACGGGGATGACAGGCGATGTGGTGTTAGGATCGATTTGAGATAAGGAATGGGGTTGGCGTTTAACAAATATTGAGAGGAATCGAGTAACTCTTGTTTAATGATATAGAGTATTCTTTGCAAAGTTACTTGTTAGTGATGCTATTGAAAATCGAAATGACTTCCAGGAGGCAATTTTTAGATTTAGATATATAAAGATGAGAAGTTATTTAATATATTTAAGCAATAATTACTATCACGGGGCTGACTATATCATATCAATAAAGCATATAGTTAAGAATATGGAGAAATACTATCATTTCATACATTATTAAACCCACTTTTCAGATATTAATTTTAGGGGTTCTAAGGAGTTGATTGCCGGACAGAATAAATACTTTTTTCTTATTTTTCTTCATATTAGTACGATAGGCTTGACGAGAGGGTTCAATATTTTAATTAATTTGCTTATAAGCTATAAAATACTCGCACCTAGTTCTAAAATATAACATGAGCCATTACACAACCAGCAAGCACGTTAAGAACCTGGATGGAACTCGCTGCGCTAAACAGCCACTCCCCAGCATCGAGTATTGTGGCATGATGTGTTTATTTTACTTTATTAGTCGCAATTTCACTTTAAGTAATGCATTATACTTATAACATAAACTACGGACCTAAATTAATATAATAAATGCTTAATATAATGTTAAAAGGGTTAGATTTACTTAATTTGTCTGAGTATACTGTATCGATATCTTATTCCCTTTAATCAGATTACATGATCAATAGGTAAAAAGCAGACAGTTGTTGGATCCTTTCGGGTCTTTGACTTTATTTTTAGTTGATTGGTCAATTATTTTCTGGCGGACTTCACCGGCACGTACTCCATCACATCGCAATATCGCAGCAACTCCTGTAAAAAAACATAAAATTATTAAGATTAGTAAGTACTATCAACTTTTCATAATAATTCTTTGCTCACTACACTTTGAGATGAAACTAGTATGAGGCTTAGGAAGTAAAGTTAGTTTTAGTTGTGACATTCCGACAATCCAACGTAATTATGCAAATGTGTAACTAGGTGTTCGGTATCAAGCGGCGTATCTGGGCCCAGTGGTACAGGGGTGCATATGCATCTCCCACCCCTTTCAGAAACTAAACCAGTCACTTGTCGCAAATCCTGTTTCAGAGATAATGGCCAAAACATGCTTGAATGTCAAATTTTTTAAAACCTTTTTATTGCACTAAATTAACCATTATAGCTGTCTCTTATACACATCTAGATGTGTATAAGAGACAGGTATGCTGGTTTTATTTTTAATGTATTTTTCTAGTTAAGTTGTTTTATTTTAAGTTATTTCTTATGATTGACGCACCTCATGTGTGCCACTGATGTAAATGGTGTCTGCATAGAGTCAATAAATGATTCGATTTATTTACTATGCCAATTCTGTAGCATTATTTAATATCGAGTTACTAAGTGATGGTGTGGAGCCTAACCCTGGACCATCAAATTCCTTAAATTCTACGGATCAAACTGAGCAACATCTTAGTGTGTACTACCAAAATGTTCAAAGCCTCAAGAATAATATAACCTGTTACAAAACTGAACTTGGTAGTCACTTATTAGATAAATAAATTCCAGATAGTTGGTTTGTGAGTGACTGAATGACTCAGTATTGGATGCTGAACTAGTCATTATTAGGCGTCAGTTATACAGAAATGACCGTGATGATGGTAGAAGTGGAGGAGTTTTTGCTTCTTGTTTCCGAGGATTTTCATTCCAAGATACGTGCTATTGCTAACTGTGCTAGATTATAAGCAAGTTTTATGTAAATTCAAACATCTAGACGGAAGAAACTTATATTGGGTCCACCACTGCAATAGCTATTCTACATTGTTGGTCTTCTGTTATTTAATCCTTTTATTAATGACCTTTCTTACTATTTCTCCTCCTCTCACCATTTGCTGATATACTACCTTCTATACTATCCCCTTCAGTATGATCTTTCTACTCTCTTAAAATGGACCATCACCTGGAGGCTTAGTTTAAATTTTCTAAATTTAAAGTTATGACTATTACTAACAAAAAATACAATCTATTCATTACGGATAGAACATTAATAGTACGATACGTAAAAGAGTTGACCCTTATCAAAGATCTTAGTATCATTATTGATTGTAAATTAATTTTTATTCAAGTTGATGCTGCAGTTAGTAAAGCAAATAGAATGTTAGGTATGATACGACGTAACTGACAGTTGGTTTTTCTAGTTGAATTCATTTATATGTTTTGCTTTTTCGTCCCTACCTTGAGTACTGTAGTGTTGTATCGAATTGTTTCTCTTCTACTCATTGTACCCGTCTTCAAAAAGTCCCGGACCGTTTTGTTCATTTTGTTTATTCTACTTGTTGTCTTGTCTATTTGTTGTCTTGTCTATTTCTTGTCTTTCACTTGATTCTCGTCGTTCATTGTTTGATATTCAGTTTCTGTACAAATTTATGAATTCCCGTTTTGATTGTGATTTAATGTCTGTTCTCTTTTCATGTCAAAGCTGTTGACTGCCGTAGACATCTTTTCAACGAAGTTTTTTTTAATATCGATCGTATTGTAAAATCAGTTACCAAAAATGGTTTTGTTTCTCGTATTAGTCGTTTTTTTAATCATTGTGCTGAAAAGCTATTTTGATTGATCTTTTCTTTGATAGTTATAAATGTTTTTTGTAATGAAATTGTTCAGATTGCTTTAAGTTTATATTCTCATTTATATTTTGGCCTTTTGATCCATCCTGTAAGTGGGGGGTTTCCCGTTGTTGGATGTGATTGTAAATAAATAAATAAAAATAAATATTTGCTCGATTGTAACATTTTGCCAAAAGGTGAACGGAAATGAAACTTTTGACTTTTGACCCTAGATACCCAGCACATTCATAGATCCAAAACTGTTGGACATATAGACCTAATTATGGCTTCATTTGTTCAGCGTGTTTCTATTTACACTAATGCACCATGTTGTCATAAAGTAACCGAAAATGAAGTTTATGACCTCTGAACCTAGGTACCCTGTACGCCGGATATCAATATTTCCATGACCGTTGGTCATAGAGACCTAAGTTTAACCTCAATTTGTTCGAAACAAACATATTCTATTTGCAGCACTGCACCATTTTTCTAAAATTGACTGAAAATGACACTTATGACCTTTTACTCAAGGACGTCCCTGTAGCATATTCGATACTACCTCCATAACCATTGGTCATGGAGACCTAATTTTGACTTCAAATTGTTCAGAACATGCATGTTGCTATTTGAACTAAAGCAACGTTTTGTCATTCAACATTCAAAGACATTGGAAATGACATTTCTGAGCTTTGACTCTATATTAGGTACCCTGTTGCATATGTCTCATAATTTTGGTCTCAAATTATTGGGAACATTCATGTATCTATTTGCCCTATAGATATGTAATATCAAAATGTGACTGGAAATGACATTTCTGACCTTTGAACCAGCGTATACATCAGAATATACCATACATGTTTTTATAAGTATTTGTCTTATAGTGAATAAAAATGATATTGTTTTACCTAATGCACGGTAAAGCTCCTTTGTGCTTCAAATTATAAAATATTTAAATTAGAAAATACACTAACAAGTTGCTATTAGCATGATATATATTCGAGAAGACTGCTCTAGAAGTGAGATTATGCAAAGTAAATGATCGATCATCATAAAAAAAAATTGTGTTTGCCTTAAGCACAATTATCCTTGACTGTTAGGATGATCCTAATCTACGTATAGAACATTATCGAAATGAATACTGAATACAAAATGAATACTGTATAAAGAATCATTGAGGAGTAACCGTTAACACCTTAACCCAATCTCGGGCCCTATCTAGCTGGCTCGAATAAAGGAATGGGATACACATGGTGCATGGTTTTGCACAGGTGAACAGGTAATTTGGGATGGTAGCCAAGACGGTGAATCCCTAAGAAAAAATACAGGCAAATTTATGTTGTGAAGTGATACATTAAGTTTTGAAAAATTATTGTGTAGGGTAATGTTGCTATTAGCATGATATATTTAAGACTGTTCTAGAAGTGAGATTATGCAAAAGTGAATGAACGATCATCATAAAAATTTATGTTTGTCTTTTGGAGCCGTGTTTAATATACAAAATAGCGAATAATGTCAATACTGACAAGGGTAGGAAACAAAAGGAAACAAGCAAATAAAACTGACAGATACGAATGGTAACTAGACTATGATGATGTGCCATTTTCCTGTATCTTAAGAGAATAGCCCGCCAGGAACATATCTAAACAGGCAATGCCGCAGCCAGAATTTTCAAGCAGTGCGCGTCAATATCATGGTGGACCCACTTTAAGTGTAAATTAAAATAATGTGGACCCATTTTCCTAAAGGTTGACCCATTTTACGCAAAAAATATAAAAAATGTTGACCCATTGTCTTAAAAGTTTACTAATTTTATGCAAAATACGACCTTATCTAAAATAGCGCCCTCTGTAATTTCTGCCTTAACTGTATGGGGAAGAAATAATGCAGCCGGCCAGGCTTCCCAAAATTTGTATCTACATGGATCTACCTGGATATAGAGACGTGAAGCTGTTATAGCTTATGTGTCCCTCTTGACATTTCTTTGGGTGCATACGGGTTGAACTTAAGCGGATGGTTTGACCAGTGTTTTTGTAGACTGTTTTTGAATTGGTTGATTGTAAGAGAATCCACAATTGAGTTTGGTAAAGCGTCCCAAGAATTGATTGCTCTAAACGAAGATGCGTTTTGTCGAGATTTCACGTGGACTTTCTGAATTTTCCATTGGTGACCTCTATTGGATGTACATTTATTTATTTATTTATTTATTTTTAATCGCTAAACTGAACCTTATCACAACCTCGGATAATTTTAATTATTTTCAGCATTTCTTATATAATATGTTAAGGTTGGTAGATTCAGATGTTTTAGTCTCTCGCTGTACCGAAGATGACGAATTTGAGGAAGAAGCCTTGTGGCCCTTTGCTGAACTTTTTTCCAGAGTATCTTCATCTTTCTTAACAAGGGACTTCAAATTATGTAGTAATACTCTATAAGGATGGCCTGACGATACTTTTGTATAATTGAAGCAAACTATTCTGGTCCAAAGACGTGAATGTTCTATTAATTATACCCAGTTTTGAATTAGCTTTTTTTTTAAATATCTGCAATGTGATCCGAAAATGTTATCGACTTATCGAATAACACACCCAGGTCATTTTCTGCATTTACTGCCTTGAGTTCCATTTTATTTGTGGTCTTTACCATGGTATACTTTAAAAATTTATTACGTTTTCCATAATGAATAATTTTACATTTCTCTTTGTTAAAAGGCATTTGCCATTTCACTGACCATTTCCAAACTTCATCTAAATCATTCTATAGAAGATTTGCTTTAAAGCATTATTTACGATTAAGACAATTTTAGTATCATTAGCAAAGAGTTTAGTGCTACACCTTAATAAATCCGATAAGCCATTATACAAAAAAAATTTGAAATTTTTTTTTTTATTTAAATTTAAGTATGAGGGTGCCATTTCCGGTCATCTAGAGCTGCCATAATCATTTTTTTTTACCACAGCCCAACCATAGTAGGAAAATGTGATATTTACGCTACCTGTGAAAGTCCTTACCTGGGCTTTATCTATTTCGAATACCTGAATCTGCAACTGGATTATAACTCGTTAAATACCCGGGTTTTAGGGTGATATTAATGATTACCAGTAATTCCGGTAATTTTATGAAGACACCACAATCATAAATCTAATAATGTTTTAAGCTCAATTTTATGTAATACTTTAAATTATTTTTGTTGACTCAATTTGTCAAACAAAAAAAAAGAAAATAATAATAAATAACTTAAGTTCCATTTCCGGGCATACAAAATACTAAAATATTCTGCCCCTTAGCGCTAAACATTGTGGCGTTGACGAGGCCAAGACTCTCTTTCCGGACATTCATCAACCACCCCACTCCTCCTCCTCCTATTTATATCCTGGATACGCCACTGGTGTCCATCGAGAATCACCGAAATTTGTTTTAATCACCAAGCTATAAAGTCTTTGGAGTTTATTGTGAATAATCAATTAATTAATTAATGGTAACATATAGCAGCTGTTAAAATGTTACTATTATGTTTTAAACTATTAATAGTTTTGTTACTGTACAAATATCACTGTAACCTATCTGTATAAGCCACTAAAACGTTTACCCATTTCATGGTCTATGTATTCATTCAAAGGCGTAATAAACAAGGTTAATAAAAATCCATTGTAAAGCGCATGACCTCTTACCTGAAACATGAGGTGCGGACATAGACGTACCACTTTTAATTTTTGTACCATCGTTTGATTCATTATCGAGTGATTCCACAGCCACACCAGGTGCGAAAACATCTACACCAGTTCCAAAGTTTGAAAATGAAGCTCGTGTATCGGTGTCATCAGTGGCCCCGACAGTTATTGCCTGAAATGTAATTTTTACATTTAGTTTTACTGGATATTTACATTTTTAGATTAAATTTAATAAATATTTCTAAGTTAATGTCACGTGGCTGCATACTTATTTCAGATCATTGTCGGCGTTAACTTTTTTTACTGCTTTTCTTATTTCATTAACCTTTCTGTAGCATCCGAATGCAAGCTGGCTATAGCATCAATATTTAATTACAAACATCATTATCGTTTTATTTCACCATTATTAATCATAGTGACTGTTGGCACGGTATTGTGCTAATAGTCAATTCCATTTATAATTTAGAACAAACTGTTATCCTTGGCAGTCATTATTCTGCGTCGAGTTTTGGGCAGCTTTGGGGAGCATTCCTATTCTTACCCTCCCCAAAGGAGGTTATGCATTTATCGCTGTATGTCTCTCTGTCTGTCTCTTAGGCAAGATTACATTAAAACTAAGTAAGGGATTATCATAAAAATTAGTTGAATGGTACATATTGTAATAATCTAGGAAAGAGATGAAAAAATTTTGGTCATAAAAAATAAATGAATTGCCCATACACAGCATTTAAATTTTTAAAATATATCAAAGCTGCAAAGATTCTAAATGGAAAATACAGAGAATGTTAGGTATGACCCAAAGAGGGGGGGGGGTGATTAAATTTTGGTGACTACCTGGAGTAAGGTGTGGATATGAAAACCATTTAAAGAAAAAAAAATCCCAGACCAAATATTTCAAGAAATAGTCACCCTATCTGAATGAAACTTTCGTGAAAGTTTAAGTAACTTACAAGAAAGAAACTATGAAGTGTTGGTGACGATCCAAATGTTGGTGTGCATTTGAGAGTCATTTAAAGTCCAGACCTAAATATCTATAATAATAATCAATGGCTGTAAATGACACTATCTAGAATAGTTTGCCATATTTCGATGAAGTAATGCTTAAAAGTTGGTGACCATCCGGATTAGGGTGTTGATATGGAGACCATTTAAAGAAAAAGGTCCCAGACCAGATATTTCAAAAATGTTCAACTGATATGAATGAAACTTTTGTGAAAGCCTAACCAAGGTACAAGGAAGAAATTATGAAGTGTTGGTGACGATCAAAATTCGGCTGTGCATTTGAGGGCCCAAAGGTCCCAGACCTAAATATCTCGAAAATGGATCAATGGACAAAAATGACAATTGGCTGAATAGTTTGTCATGTTTTAAAAAAGGAATGCTTCAATTTTTGGTCATAAAGTAGAGTGTAGATATAAAAACTATTTTAAAGAATGAATTGGCCGAAAAAAAGCTTTATGATAAATATTTAGATTAGTGCAATTACAGTAAAGATGTACATCGTTTTATATGTATCTAACTTCATATTTTTCGGAACATATTGGGAATATTTTTCATCTTTACATTTAAACATGTGACGCTAAAAACCAAATCCCCATATTTTTATTTCCATAATATTTCCATTTCAACACAGGTACATTGCATGTATTTAATTGTTTGTCAGCTAATAGTAAAACGTGCTAGTATGTTAAGCTAAAAGATGTAATGAATTGTCAGGTGTACAACTAAAAGGCGTTCGAAAATGAAGTGTTTGTATTTTAATGTTGATATTTAGACCACTAAAAACAAAACCTCGCAGATCAGATATCTCAAAATCTAATCAATTCATCTAAAGGGAACTTTCGTGTTAGTGTAATATTTTAGAAGCAGATTGTAGTTGGTGGTTGGAAACTAGAACCATATTTAAGAAAATATTTTATATAAAAAGATTGGCGGTTGGCAAGTAGGTATACAACTAAGGCGTTTCCAGTTAGCTTGTTAGTGTATATTTTTTTTAATTAAGTGGGTTATCTCATTTTTAGCTCCAATGAGGAACTCTAGGAGTATCCTGCTGATTGATTGATTAAGTAATAGTCAAATACCCAGGACTGTACATCCTGACATTACTTTTAACATAGGACACGTCGTATAGATGATGCGGTCGGTTAACGATGTGTTCAATTACCCTAATGTTCGCGAGTTGAAATCGCGTCTCTAAGAGTACTCTACTGATTGATTGACTGACTGACTGACTGACTGACTGACTGACTGAATAAATACAGTAACAGGCATAGGCGTTTCCGGTTAGTGGACACTGTTTTTAAGTAAGTAGTGGTTGAAAAAAGGATTCTCAAATGTTTTAGCCGTTTCAGTAGCTGAAAATAATATGTTTCAATATGTATCTTGGGTTCTGTGTTCAGGCCGATATTAAATTTTGGTGAAATCATTTCTGATTAAAAAATCTAAAAATGGAAATAGTGCCCTCTCTTTGAAATGAAAAAAAGTGTTATGGCGAGTTACTGTGTGTTTTTGAAGAGGAGTGGAGCGAAGTGAGGTAAGGTAGGGTGGTATTGGTGGTGGTTGAAGTAAAATAGGAACATATTTTGGAAGATTTATTTTATAGAAAGGGATTTGCGGTGGGCAGAGATATGCTCTCCACTGACTGCTCTTATTTTTATTGTTATTGTTTTATTATTTTCATTCATATTTATGTTGTGATTAAGTAAGCTATGTATTACCTTACTCATTAGATCGTTTTTAACTACGTTTGTATATTCTGAACTTGTGATTTGTATGATTTATGAAAGCACCACTGTTTTGTGTGTGCTACAGTTTAAAAAGTGAGAGCCAAATACAAATTGAAACTTAAAATTAAAACGGACAAGAAAACGAAAATACCTCGGTCACTCTAGCTGGTGACTGGTCACATGCATCTTTTTCATCGTTTCCTGCAGAGGCTACAACAACATAGTCCGCTCGAATCAACCTCTTTACAGCATCGTCAATCGCTTTGCATTTGTCAAATCCAAGTGACATGGATACGATACTACCACTGTCCCCATTATTCAGAATATAGTTAATTGCTGGACAAAATAAATATTTTTATTGTTTATATTTTTTTATATTTTTGTTCAGTACACGTTTATACTAGGCATGATCGCCAACTCGTGGCAAAAATATACTTTTATTCTTAAAGGCGTTGGCGCACTTCAAATTATTATTACCCTGGTGATTGGATTAAACACAAATGAAACATACTCATTTAGCTCCTCGAGGAAGTAACCTATAAATCTGCAGCAGCTACTTTTTGTTCAGTACACGTTTATAATAGGCATGATCGCCAACGCACAGCCAAAATATACTGCTATTCTTAAACACATTTATGCATTTCACTTTATTCTTACCCTGGTGATTAGATTAAACACAAATGATACAAGCTTATCTAGCTCTCCTCGAAGTAGTAACCTATAACGCTGCATAAAATAATCGGCGCAATTGGCACCCTAGTATTAATTGGGGAGATACAATGTGGTTTAAGCTTCCGTACTGCATCATTGATGAGTAATATATATCATTATATATACATATATATATATATATCATATTTTAGGCTTCCTGCTTCCATCATTATTACTATTGTTTATTTGCCTTCCATTAAATATATATTTTTTTATATAGGCGCACATTTATTTGTATTAAATTAATGGTTAGTATAATTTTTCCATCACCACTCCCTGGTTTTTGGTTTTAATTATAGCACTATGTTTAGTCTTTCAATTATCATCATCTAATCCATTGACTATAGTAATGCTTTCCAACAGTCCACCACTTGATCATTCATTGTTCTCCCTTATCACTATTTATTTGTACATATATATGATATATTATATCATCAATCCTTTATAGCATGCCGACTTACTTTTGACATAACTATTGTTTCTCAAATTCTATATTACCTAGAAACGTTCTCAATATGTACTGTCTCATTGTTGACATCGGTTCCTACTCCCATTTTCCATACAACTAATAAATAACTATGTTTGATACGATTTATAGAATGTTTCTATTATTTTAATACTCTATTATTATCTATTGATAATAATAATAATCGTATCAAGCATAGCCCTTTAACAAAAAGTTACCGTTTTAATTGCAAGAAAAAAAGTGACAGGGTTTGAACCTGCAGCCTCTCATTGTAAAGGCGAGTATCATAATATTAGACCACTGAGACCTATAGGATATACTTGTAAATCTAACCCATGTCAGTTTTTCATACAAATAATATAGGGGAACTTCTCGATGATGAGCTATGCTTGCTACGATTCTTATACTCTAAAGTACTAGGTCATGGTGGTACAAAGTAGGATTAAAATGCAACAAATTGTGCCGATTAGCTGCTGCAAATCAATGACGTAATTGACAATTTAAGTGATTGAAACTTAAACTTACCTTCAACTACATCTTCCTCATCAACATTTGCCGAGCATCCACCTACGCGTACACTGCGTATTTTCACACCCTGGGCGACCCCGTACGTTGCTGCAGCAATCGTACCGGCAACGTGCGTGCCGTGTCCGATGCAGTCCTCCTCCTAAGCGGATAAAACAAATAGATATTCAGACATTAATTGCAATAATGTCCATTGCTGGAGCGCATTCAGCTTCTATTTGAGTTCAATAAAGACATCACCATTTCGAGTAATGCTAAACCCCACAAACCCCGTAAACCCCGCAGACCACATCTAAACCTTGTGATAGCGAATGAATCAAGTAGTATAAGACTAAACTTGGTATCTCAATAAAACAAAATTATAATTTTATGTTCGTAATAACCTATTTTTGGATTAAAATCTTTATTTTTTTTTGTTAAAAATACCTAAAAATACACCTCAAACTCCATAAAACACAGTTCAAACCCCATCCAAACCATGTGATAGTAATTGAATCACGTAGTGTTTAGGATAGTAGGATTTAACTTGGTATCTCAATTAAAAAAAATTATACGTTTATGTTCGTAAGAACCTATTTTGGGGTTAAAATCTTGATTTTGTTAAAAAATACCTAAAAATGCACCGCTAACCCCCCAAAACAAAGTGAAAACCCCACCCAAAACCCTGGCGTGGGGAGCATGTTTATCTAGAATTTCCTTAAGCAAGCAGATTTATAATGCAAAACAAAGTTATCTAAATCCACATATTCACAAGCCATTATTTGAGCCACTTTAACAAAATAGAAACACACAGTGATCAATAGACTTGAATTTACGATGTAAGTGTAAAACTGACATGATTACGTCAATGTGAGGAGGTACGACAGTAATGTAAATAATTGCATGATCTGAAAACATAGCTAAGCGGTTCGACGACTAAATAAATGATAGATAAATCATCCTCTTTCGACATTATCAAGTCGAGAGTATGTCCAGCACTATGTGTAGGTCCAAATAATATGGGGAGCCTAAAGTTGAAAAAAACGAAATAGTATCGAAGAATTTGGAGACAGCAGGCCTTTGAGGACAGTCACAATGTTAAAATCACCATGAAGCAATGTTCTACTATTCAGAAAATCAACACATCTAAGAAATTAATCAAATTCATTAATAAAATTAGATATCTTAGTTCCTCGAAGACAATATCCGACAGCAAAATTGTGCTGTCCAATGGAGAATAGACTAAAGATTAAACAAAAACATCTTTGCGAAGTTTAAAGTTAAGGGAATTGCGATATAGCAAACCAATACCGCCACCACAATGTATCTGGACATGTACATTAAAAGTCATATGACTTAAGTTTGCTAATTATAACATGATCATCGGAAAAAAAGCCAGGTTTTGTAATTTTAAAAAAATCATCAATAATGTCATAATTTGGTCACAAGTAAAAATAGTTGTATTACAAATAGAGGATTTCAAAGAGTAAACTTAAGTTAGGAAGCTAAGTCGGTGTTCAGATTAAGAGTAGGTAAAGCAATAGCACCAGAATAAATAAAAAGCAGATTTTTAGCCTTATCAGCCCTGACGAACACCCGTAAGCCTGCCACACTTGTGTTTTCCAGTAACATGAAGGGTTCTAGTAAGAAACACCTCATTAGTCAACCTAAGCTTAGGATCATTCAGCTCAGTCAGCTGAGTAAAAAACCCCATGAAAATGTCAGACGTAATACCAAACTGTGGAATACTGAAACAATGAGCCTAGCAATAAACTGCATAGGTGACTAGTTAAATGGACAGAAACAATAACAATGGTACAATCACTTAAGACAATTATAGGCCAAGCTGTAACACATGATAATACCGATCATACAAATAGAAATTACAAAAACATTAATAAACTTAAACAACCAATCAGACACAAAATTAGTAACAAAGAATACAAAAACAAGATCATCAGATAATTTATATAATTTAATTTTAATTACAGGTTAGCAGAGTCAGAGCCAAGCAATCCATTGCTGTTACTTTTTCCGCTGTTGCATGCATTGCTACCGTTATTCTTTTTAAAAAGATTATTATTGTAGTTGTTATTCATCTTACATCGGTTTTAACAACTTCGTGCCAATTCTCTGCTCTGCCACCAAACATAGCATGGTCGGTATTGACGCCAGAATCGATAACGTACACGATTTCGTTATAACCATTTCCTTTACAGATTCAAAAAGAAAAGGACTGAAATAGTTAATTAATAGATAATTATAATGATAATGACACATTAAAAATAACAATAAATTTTCTGAACATTGACTTCTAATTTCCAGGATTACATGACAAGATGTTAGTAAAAACAATATAAGTTTAAAGTAACGGTGCCATTTGTGTTGTCAAAGTTCTCGTTATCACCTGGACAGTGCGTTGCTTCCCAGCATTTTGCTACTCAGCACGTTGTCGCATTTGCGCATTTGGCCCTTTCGTAAACCCGTCCTCAGCCGCCGATAATTTTTTTTAACGTAGGATAGTTTGATAAAATTTCAGGAATAATTCATAATCATAGAGCATAGCACTTAACGTCAGACTCTTTATTCAGTCTGTTACCGACGCATATTAACATCCAGTCTATTTTATTATTATCGTGAACTTAACAAATACAAAGTAAACATGAAAAGAAGGTGATTTATTTATGTTATGCAAAATGTTTTTTCTTTTGTATGTATTTTCATATGCTAGATAATTGAATGAAAAAAAAACATTTGTTTTTAGTCCTATGATATTGCACGACATATGATCATGCACGATTGATGAATCCTTCGCGTTAAACCTCATCTAGGCCTTTTGTAAAGCAGACGGTGGTGGTACTAGTGGATAATTTGTCCTAGCTTTCGCAGCATCGAGCGAAATTTATTAGCTTATACATAGTGGAATTTTAATAAACTCAAATTAAACTTCCTTCTTAAATAAAGGAAGGAAGGAAGGAAGGAGAGAACGAAGGAAGGAAGTAAGGAAGGAAGGAAGGAATGGAAGGAAGGAAGGAATGAGGGAAAGAAAGAAAGAAAGAGAGAGAGAGAGAGAAAAAGAAAGAAAGAAAGAAAGAGAGAGAGAGAGAGAGAAGTGAGAGAGAGAGAGAGAGAGAGAGAGAGAGAGAGAGAAATTAATATAACATTACATAGGGCCTAGGCTAGGCCTGATGTAATGAAGAAGTGTAGGCCTACTGTGTACACGAAAGCTTGTGACAATACATATTTCAACTAGTATATAAAGTGCTACCGTTTTCTTATTGTTTGATTACTGTTAAGACTAGTACGGCTCACCATATTATTATTTATCGTAATGTTATAGTATTACAGTAAAATAGGAGCAGCGCTGAAATTTTTCGATACTCTCGCATGAAACTAGTGCAAGGCAAAGTTTTAGTACTTTTTATTTAGTTTACATTTGTGGTAAATTGTTGTTTTAAAATATCTTAAAATGTATTACTTGGGAGTTGCCTTGTCATAGCGAAGAAAAAACAAATCACTACGCTTATTGAGACTCGATAATTAGTTTGTGTGTGATTATTTCTGACCATGGAGGAAATAGGCCTACTCGTCATAGATTGAGTTTCTTTTTAAAATCGCGATCGCGCTCAGGGTTGGCACGGCGGGTTTACGAAAGGGCCAAATGCCACGGTGCCACCTACCCAATCACGTCTGTAAGTAGTACGTCTTACGATAATTAGCCATGTAGGTCTACCGAGTTCTTACACATAAAAGCGAACAAGAGAAACTCCTACGCGAACAACTATTATTTCAGAAGTGTAGTAAGTTAAGCGATTTAACTAAACCAACCAGAAATTAAAAGCTCATAATTGTTTGATATGGAACAAAAAGAATAATTGCATATCTAAGGTCTTTTTGTCTCTTTTGTTTAAAACAACTTATACCGTATATACTCGCTTATAAGGTGACCCGCGTGTAAGACCAACCCCGAGTTTGAGAAGATTTTTGGACAATTTTTGTATAACGAGCGTATAAGACTAACCCCTGTTTTATCGTCGGAATTCCTAATTTTTTTCTGATTTTATCGTTTTGATACTGTATCTAGCTGGCTATAAACGGAGCAAATGCAAGGTTAACCTTCCAGATAATACCAATCTTTTTACGTTCATCAAAACCTTTTTTCCAGTATTTAAAGACGAACATGATTTAATCTAAAATGTGTATGTCGTGCGTACAAGACGACCTCCTGTTTTTCGATCGTCATTTACTATTTTAGGCCTCGACTTTTACGCGAGTATATACTGTAATATATAATAGAAAAAAACTAAGCCAATCATATATGGTATGTTTTTATTGCAGAAAGATGTATACGGTAATTATTTAGACTTGTAAAATGTTATATATTATTTTCATACTATAGCATACACATTGGCCAGTATAATGTTAATATTATAAATTATTACCTCTCTGTAGAATAAAATTATATGAACGAGTTTCAAGTATTTTTGACAATTATTGCTAAAAATGGCTTCAGTATTTAATTGAAAAGTAAAACTATTACTATTTATACTGTATTATAAATAACATTGTGGATAATAATAATAAAACAAATATTACTATCAACACTGCAGTACCAACTGCTTACTTCGACTCGAATTAAACCCTGGCCATCAGGCGCAAGCTTGGTGGTCTAGGGGTATGATGCCAGGCTAGTGATCTGGAGATCGTGGGTTCGAGAACCACCCGAGAACAACTTGCGATTTGTTCTTCGCAGTTGTTTTCAAATGTACTGAGTATTCGGTACATTTCCACGTCAGTTAGGGCAAAAATTACACCTATACAAATAAAAAAATAATTCAGTACAATCCAACAATAGGGTATTGTTTCGGCTAATGATAATCAGTGACAATAATGATGATGACTGTGTGTTGGTAACTTCGTTGGGTAGCAACGGGCACTTTAAAGAGCCAAGTCTTTTTTTCGAGACGAGTATTGGGTTACCTCTGTGTGCTGGTTCATACCTGTTGTGAACAGACGAGCGTAGTTGGCACCGGTTTACCGTGTAGTTCACAGACACTGATCCTTTAGGGCAATTTTATACGACCATGGAGGAAAAGCTTTGAGGCTTCAATATAAAGCGCGATACATTAGGAACCGAACTATTCAACAACTAGCCCGAAAAACCTAGCAGTTGGGGCATATTACGTCTTAGGAAACAAGCTAAATTGCTATATAGAATAACTGTACTTAGTTATATGAAAACAATCGTATAACCATAGGGTTTTCACTTCATGGTATTAGACTATAAACCACTACAGTCTATAAATATTTTTAAAGCTCTAAAAAGGTAAATATAAGCGTCCTCCTTACCAATTGGTGAATAGTTGTTGTCTAGTGGAAGGTTCCGCTGGTCAATACGATCTAACCCCCAAACATCAGTGTACGCAGACAGTTTGCCTACCAAACTTTTTTCGACATACTTCACACCCTCCATTTCAAGAATCTGCAAGGAGAAAAGATGAATAAATATTTAAAAAACTAATTACATTGAACCAACCTTACTCTGACCTTTTTGAGTCATCTTCAGGAAATATACTATTGATGAAAATATCGATAACAATATAACGTGCAAGCACCTAAATACTTTATCATAACAAAATTAATTTAAACATAGTGCTTTATAAATATAAAGTGCATTAATTTCAATAATATGTACATTTACATTGTCACCCTAAAAAATATACGGGTAAAGTATTAAAATATCAGGCACTACCTGGTCTAGTTCGTCCTCATTAAGGTCACATACGACTGCGTTTATGCCATTAGAGTGCCCGTTGAGTGTTTTGCAAGGGGTGATACGGCTGCTCTCAGAAGATCTTACGTTATCCACTTTTTTCTTCATTGCGTCTGTATCCTCATCATCCTGTTTATAATGAAAACAATTGGCTTCAGATAAAAATTCTTCGAGCAAGTATGCGAATAATTTAAGCTTGTTTTAGCAGTGCTTTAAAATTTTGAAGCTAATTAGGGAAACAACACAGTATTAGAATGGAAAAAAAATATCAGTAATATTAATTGAATTTACCTCAAGAACCACGATATATCTGTTACCTTCGGATTTGCCATTGTAAAGTGCAGCCTTACCAGCTCTCAATTCTTCACGGTCATGAATACTTGTGCACTCTGGAGTTCGTGGACAGGCTTGATTAAGCCGCGCCAATAACAATACAAACACAGTACCAGACAAAACTTCAAACAACTTCATAATTGGGGTGTTCGTATCTCTTCCGTGCAATGCATAGAAATTACAAGAAGTAACTGGATTTCTTAGGATAGATCAGTGCTTATATAACTTCCATCAGCCAATCAGGTGCATGCTTTTGATTCCAGTAAAAGAAAGAAAGAGTAATCCAAAGAGATAAACATTGCAAATAAGACTAGAATTCCAGCTAACACTATTTAAACAAAAAGCAGTGTAATAAAAAAGTTCCCGGATGTCAGTCAAACTACATATATTATTTGACAAATCAGAATTCGTTATTAAATTTATCGAATAAGAAACAAGCCCACAAATAAATCCTGCTCCTGGAGCATTGTGTAGGCTAAAATAGTGTCTGTGATATAACTGTTTCAATATCGAATGTGTATTTTATTTTTTTCATTGGCAAGACAACAGAAAATAATTCTTAGTATGAATTACACTAATATGAATACTAAATTCTTGAAATGTTTAACAATTCCACTTTCATGCAAAGTTTCTGTCACTAATAATAATAATAATAATAATAATAATAATAATAATTGTAATAATAATAATGATGATGATGATGATGATGATGATAATGATGATGATGGTGATGATGATGATGATGATGCCTACGACGACGACGGCGATGACGATGACGAAGATGATGATGATTTCAAAATATGACATACTTTATGAAAAGCAGTTCGGTTTCAGAAAAGGATATAGTACATCTATGGCCCTTATTGATCTTACTAACAAAATTGTGAATGCATTTGAAAATCGCCATCTTGCAATTGGTCTTTTTATAGATCTCTCCAAGGCTTTCGACACAATTGATCACAATATTCTCTTATTTAAATTATCTCACTATGGAATTCGTGGCCCCGCACTTACACTTCTCAAAAGTTACCTCTCCAACCGGGCCTAGTGTACTAAATATTCTACTTCTATATCAAATTACAGACCAATCACTTGTGGAGTTCCTCAAAGTTCTTTACTGGGTCCCCTCCTTTTTATTTTGTACATCAATGATATCCATCTATCCTCTGACTTACTTAATTTCTTCCTTTATGCTGATGACACCACTGTTTTTTATTCTGACCATGATATCCAATCATTATTTGATACTGTCAACTCCAATCTGATTCCCTTGTCCCAATACTTTGCTGCTAATGAACTTTCAATTAACCTTAACAAATGTAACTTCATCCTGTTTGTGACCCCACAAAAGTTAAAATGTATTGATAACACTCCTTTTAAAATTTTTATCGATAATTATGACATACCCTCTGTTCAGTCAGCTAAGTTCTTAAGAGTTCATCTTGACAGTGGCCTATCATGGAAAAAACATATCCACGAAATTGAAAACAAAATTTCAAAAAGCCTTGGTATTATTTTTAGATTATCCCCATTTGTACCCACTAATATTCTTCGTATTCTTTACTGCTCTTTAATCCTTCCTTATTTGAGCTACTGCAACATTGTTTGGGGCAATACTTATTTATCCAATATTAACAGACTTCAAGTTCTCCAAAAACAAAAGTTATTAGACTTATATCTGGCGCTCCACCACTGTCTCACTCCTTTCCCATGTTCTCCAATTTAAACCTTCTCAAACTCCCTGATATTAACCATATTCAACAAAGTACTTTCTTATACACTTTTGTAATCGTTAAGCAATTATATCACTAGATGATAACGACATAAAGAAAAGAAAGTTAAATGAAATTTTCAATTCAATTCAATTCAAAAATACATGTCTCACAAATAACGTAGCGCAGTCTTGTCCTTTGCACATGTACATTGGCATAAGGCAGGGTCTATAGGGTGTTCAGGGATAAGTGGTCAAAGGCCATTAAGGGGTAATTTTTTTCTTTTTTTCTGGCAACATTTCAAAACCCTACTATTGCCAAACGGTTGTGCCGATTTCAAACAAACCTGCTCAATATAACCGGTGACACCTCTCATACGTGGGGGTGTTCACTGCTTGTGGTCAAAGGTCACTTAGGGTTCATTAGGGTAAAAACACTTTTTTTTTTTAAATGCATAAAAGACTTCTGCTGTCACAAATAACATAGCACAGACTTATCCTGGGCACATATGTATTGGCATAAGGTAGGGTCTCTATGGTTTGTCAATCTGGGGTGATTGGATCATGAAACTAAATGTTTTAAGCTTTATAATCATCTACATATTTTTACAATTAATTAATTAAGCTTTATAATCTTTAGAATAATTAAATAATTAAGCTTTATTAATTAATTAAGCTTTATAATCATCTACATATTTTTACAATTAATTCAAAATTGAGTGATCATTTTTCTTTCAAAGTTGACTATCTCTTATGCTTTGCATAGGAAAAAGGTTAAAATTAGAGTGTTTTATTTTTTTGTATACTTCCTGCTTCTTTTTACCATAAATCTGCAACGACAGGTCGCTGGACTTCGGGGTGAACGGTGAACTGTAGCTCATAAATTAAGCATTCTTTTACCATGCAAGTCCCATGCTGGTTGCTTAAATAACCATTGATCATTTTTTCTTTAAAATGTTGTATTCAGAATTGTTTTTACCCTGTCTATGAATGACGTCGCGCGCTTAAGGCCAATAGCAGCTACGAATTTCGAGTTTTCTGCGGTTAGTGCGTTCATGCATAAGATGTAGGTCAAATTTACCTGAATGAGCTTTGTCGCAAATAGAGGAAAAGTTTTCATTTTGATTGCTAGTGACTACTAATGATTTGACGAATTGCATTAGACAGACTCCTACCAAACATGGGGTGTTCACACAGGTTGAGCTTAAATTCACAGTGGTTATCTCCTTCAAAATATATGACTGGGTTCATGTCCTATTGAACATAGTACCTCTGGTTCCTTTTGTGTTTTTATTGTTGTAATCTGTTTATTTGTCTTTGTTGTTTGTGTGACTGTACTATTGTAATGCATGGGGTTCCTGAATAATGATTGATTTTATGCCTATCATTGTTTTCCTCAATTAATGAGGCTTTGCTTGCGCTTCATAACCGCAAGGGAAAGGGGCAATATAAATACCCAATGCCAGTCAGTACCAGTATACCATCATACCGACACCGCCGCTACCGGCAGCAACAGCAGGAGGAGGAGGAGCAGGACTATTGCGCATGACTGGATTACACAGAGCAAAACTTTCTGGCGTGTTATGCTCAGTGCATTTCTCCGAAGGTCCTTTGGTCTGAAGGTCCGTTGGTTCAAAATTAACATATTTGAAATATGGACAAAAATATCTTATTATAGATTGTTGCAAAATGCTCAAATCCGCAACATCCTGTGAGCAAACAATTAACTTGACGCGAGATATATAATTATTATACATTTTAGGCTACTTTCACGCAGGTTCAACGTCAACTGACCACGTTGCAGTTGCTTTGTTTTTTGATGTAAATGAGCTAGGCTTAAATATATTTGTGGAAACTTTGTAACTCTCCTTTCAAAACGTAATTAAGGCTTTTGTACATGTAGGGCCTCCTAATTTTTGTTGAAATTTAGTACTAGACTATTTGCGAAACCTGATTTTTGTCAAGTATATGATATTATATAAAATTAATAAAGCTGCATAGGCAAAGTGATTAAATTGATTAAATAAAATAAACAAATAAAACAGTTCTAATCTGTCTATATATATATATATATATATATATATATATATATATACATAGATATATATATCATCAAAGAAAGGTAAATACAGTGTTCGAATAAAGGACTGAATAAATACATCGTGTAGCATAGCTCTCAACGAACGTAGTCCTGTAAATAAATGAATAAAGAAATTGTGTAATAAAATGCCTCTGGCGGGACTCGAACCTGCGACCTCTCGCTGTCAAGGAGAGTGTCATAACCACTAGACCACGGAGGCTTCATGGTTAAACAAATTCAAATACCACCAGATACACTGTATTACACAATAAGTACGGCTAGAAACAAATAATAGCATACACTGAAATATAAATTAAGATAGCCGTTAACACTGTTAAATATATATATATATAAATGTATATATATATTATATATATATATAGATTAAAAGGCAAAATACTGAAAAACAACAATGCTGTGGGAAACAATAGCTGGATCTCAATTATAGAGATACAAAAATGATAAGCAACAGCTAAAAAGTAAACGTAAGTAAACAGCCAGAAATAGAACCAGAGCTTTCGGACAACACTAGTCCTTCCTCGGGAAATAGAACCACTAGTCCTTCCTTCAGTGGCGAGGCAGTGAGGGTAGAAAAAGCTAGATGGTATAAAGTGAGAATTTCATGCAAGCATGATTGGAAACAATAGGCTGGGTGAGATTAGAATAAACAGCCTAAACAAGTAAACAGGAAGGCCAAAAATAAAGCCATGACCGTTCAAACCTCTACACAAATAAAACAAAAGCAGGTGGAATTTGTTTTTACATAAATAACCGATGGTGTTCAAACGTCAGGGTGGTTAAGAGTGTATGCTCTAAGGACATTGAAATTATGTGTGTTGCTTTAAGGACGTATTATCTGCCACGTGAATTTAATCAGTTACACATGATCTTAGTGTACATATCACCGGACACTGAAGAAAAGGAAGCCAGGAAACTGATCTGTGATGTGTTACAAGAAATCTCAGACTCTTCACCTAAATCACCAAAATTTGGGAGATTTTACCCATGCCGACAAGGAAGTCACTGCTACATTACCTAACTTCGATAAATGTGTTGATCAACCTACTAGTGGAAGTAAACGGCTGGATCAATGTATATATATGTGTAGACAATGCACCAGTTGGTAAGTCAAATACAACGTCATCCATCTACTTCCTGTCTGTCGACAGAAGCTCAAGTCAGAAAGAACCGTTGCAAAAAAAGTAAAAGTAAAAATGTGGAAACATGAAAACAGCAAACGATTTCAATCCTGTCTTGAACAAACAGACTGGAACATAATGATCACTGATAACTTTGAACACTTGGTCACCACAATAAATGAACCATGGGAATGCATGTACAAAATGACAGGATCTAAGAAGACAAAACTATAGCCCAAACCTTACTAATGGGAATCATAAAGATATTGCTAATT